ACTAATTCCGGAATACCTACGTGCAACTTCAAAGATGTCAAATATTGACTTATCTCCTGATAAGGTGTATGAAGCAATAAAATCGTTGAAGACGGATTCCAGCCCAGGCCCTGATGGAATTCCAGCAGTGTTCCTGCAAAATTGTGCAGCCATCCTGAGCCAACCCTTGTCTGATCTCATGAAAAGTATTTTTGAAGCTCACAACTTTCCTGAGACTTGGTCAACATCGTTTGTGATTCCAATATACAAAAAAGGAGACAAAACCGCTCCATCGAACTATCGTCCAATAAGTTTGACGTGCAATCTATGCAAGTGTATGGAAAAAATTGTGGTGAAACAGTTAACCCCATTTGTACTGGAGCAAAATCCATTACTGAAGCACCAACATGGCTTTCTTCCAGGGCGTTCTACAACAACCAACCTTACACTATGCTTGGACGATTGGACAAGGGACTTTGACAATAACGAGCAAGTGGATGTGATATATCTCGACTTTGAGAAGGCGTTCGATAAAGTGTGTCACAGTTATCTCCTGCACAAAATACATCACTTTGGCATTGCTGGGAACCTATTACAATTTGTATCAAATTTTCTATTAAACCGATGCTACCAAGTAAGAATAAATGCAATCTTTTCAGACAGAAGAAAAGTGCAGAGTGGGGTGCCTCAGGGATCAGTACTGGGTCCTCTACTTTTTTTATTGTATGTCAGCGATATGACATCTAATATCCAAACCAGGGTTCTACTTTTTGCCGACGACACGAAATTGTATGCAAAGGCCGCAGAACACAAGAAATTGCAAGAAGATCTCAGAGCTATAGAAGTGTGGTCCAATACGTGGAAAATGAGGCTAAACGAAGAAAAATGTACTATCTTGAGCATTGGAACCAACACCACTGAGTATGCCTACAAAATAAACAATGTCGAGCTGAAGCATGTGAGGGAGCAATTGGATCTAGGTGTCATAGTAACCTATAATCTGAAATGGGAGATGCACATATCAAAAATTGCCAAAAAATCCAACTCATACATATACCTTGTGAAAAAGGCCTTTGAAGACCAGTCGTGCAACACCATTATGAAACTGTATAAATCTTTCATACGTCCAAAACTAGAATACGCCCACTCAGTTTGGAATCCGTACTTCATGGGGACATAAATCAGACAGGCAGTGTTGGATTTCTAGGAGTTCAGCTTGATCCAAAACTACAGTGGGGACCCCACATCAATGAGCTATGCAGTAAGCTAAGTAGAGGCATCTTCGTTCTGCGAAACCTCAAAAACTGTGTCACTCAAGACATAATGCGAAGAGCATACTTCTCTATCTTTCACTCGCATCTTTCTTATGCTACTCTTGTGTGGGGCCATGCTGCTGACACCAGTCGAGCCTTTAGTCTACAGCGGAGGGCAGTAAGAATCCTAGCTGGACTTCGTTTCAGAGATGAGTGTAAACATGCTTTTAAGACACTCGGAATTCTAACTTTGCCATCTCAGTACATTCTTGAGAATCTCTTGTATATTAAACAAAGACTGGATTCCTTTGAGTGCCACAAAGACAAGCATGACTACAATACTAGATATAAAGATAACCTCGTTCCTGCCTATTGGAGGTTAAAGAGGTGTCACACTGGACCTGGTTACTGGGCAATAAAATTTTTTAATGTGTTACCTGATGACATAAAAATCTTAGATTATAAAAATTTTAAAAATAGGATTAAGGAAATTTTAATAAGTAATGCCTTTTACAATTTTGAAGAATTTATTTCTCAAGTTTTTTAACTAGTGTCTGTTTTGTATATTAGATTGTAGGATTACTATATATTCATGTAAACATTGTATTTTGCCTGTCTTAATGTATCATTTTACTACTTTGTCGACGATTGTAAACATACTGAATATGTAAAAACATGAATAAAGATTTGAATTCATAAAGGATATCGAGATACTAGAGCGAGTGCAGAGACGAGTAACAAAAATTCCACCATCACTCCGTAATGAAGATTACCTTACTCGACTATCCACCCTGGGACTCACTTCTTTGAGGGAAAGGCGTCAGAGAGGAGATCTGATCGAGACATACAAGATTATTCGAAATGGCTACTCCTGTAACCTTGACATCTTCACCTTCAATAACAACCCCCATCTACGAGGTCATACTTTGAAGTTGTGCAAGGAAAAAACCGCCAAGCTTCCAAGAAGAAACTTCATAGCAAATCAAATTGTCTACCCATGGAACAGCCTGTCAAATTCTACAGTCACCGCCCAGAGTCTGAATTCTTTCAAGAATAAGGTCGACACCGATATGAGTGCATTACTCCATGTGGATATTCATTATGGACAATAAGTTCTTACCAAAAACACGACGATAAACTTACAAGTAATCCAATAGTTTCATCAGTGTAAACTGCTTACTATTGTATCATAATAATAATAATAATAATAATAATAATAATTCCGTTCTGCTTGTATCATTTTTACGTAGTAAAATTTTTCCGTTGCTTGTCCACAAGAATTTATAATCATTATCCTTCTGGTATCGTTTTGCTGATTTAAATAGTTCCAAGTTATTTCTCGTGAGATCATGATTGATGTAGATTTGCTTGTTGTCAGTACCCAAATTTAGGTCTGTAGTAGTAAGTTTTTTCTGTTTTTTTGCTACCATCCAGTTTCTTTTGTCCTCTGCATTTTTAAAAACAACTCTTATCGGTATCACCTTGACGTCCTGTTTAGGATTCCCTAACCTGTACGCATTTTCAATGTTGGCTTGCACTCCCAGAGTAGCGGCCAAATTGTCAACCATTGTTTTAATATTTTCTGATTTATTGTAGGGTATTCCTTGAATTACGATGTTGTTGTTTAATGCAGATTGTTCTTGGTTATTCAATTGTTTTTTTATGCCATGATAGATCTGCGTTAATCTTCAGTTGCTCCTCGTATCTGGCAAATAGTTTATTATATTTTTCGTCCATCTCCATTAGTTTTGCCATGATGTCCGCATTGGTATAGTTATCTTTAATTTGGGTTGTTTTCCCAATGTTCTTTTCCTTTATTGAGCATTTTTGACAGAACCAGGGGTCTTTCGACTTTTCTAGCCTTATGTATGCTGTTTTGCTTAAATTCAAACAAATTCTGTGTGACCAATTTTCGCATTTGTCGCAGAGAAGTGCTTCATCATTATCATTAACTTTTTTACGACAGACATCACAGTTGTCCGACATCACAAATTACAAATTTTAGGTCTTCTGATACACCGGAAAAACTGCTGTTAAACGCGGCAACAATGTCTCTGACTGACACGTTCCGCGATGGTTTCGCGTCGTATCCAATACAGCAAACAATGAGGTTTTATTTCAGTTATTATTTTATTTTTGGCTTGCCTTCAAGTAGACTATTTGCCAGTATTTTGATCACTGTTTTGCACTATGTTCCGATATTTATTTGATTACTTTTCACCAAAATAATTTACTTTAATTGAAAACAATATAAACAAACACCTTGCGACGTTGCCGTCCCCCGTGCTCCGTTACCAGCGTTTAGCTGTTTAGGAGCGAATAACAAAGTACATAGCTTAACTTGTGCCTTAGATTATATGAAAAAAACAAAAATTGTAATTTGTTATTTAATAAATATAAAATAGTAACCAAAATTAATGATTTGGCTGTATTTTGAGATTACAATCTCTATTATAATTTTTCTTTTTTGTAGTCTCTCATTACCACCATATTTGTTCCCAAGTTTGTAGTGTAGTTGACATGTATTTTTGTATGTGTCTATCAGCATTTTTCCAGCCAGTCTTGTGCTGTCTCTGTATATTCCTTTTGGCCTTATAGGGGATTTATTATTTATGAAACGTAAATGTAATGAAATGTAAACTTAAAACCGCTAAAAACCTTCCATTCAAATTAAACATTTTTGTTTGCAACTCTCAGTTTTTGAAAAGATTTAAACAATACGAACAGCGAGAGCCATAAAACAGCTCCATAAGCGACTCTTAATTCATATACAAGAGTTTACAAAAAATCTCTTACTATCTAACTCTCGATCTAACTTATATGAAACTAATAATTACCTGCTGGCTAAATAATAGAATCCTCCCAACCAAGCTGCGGAAGTGACCAAATGTACCGGAACCAACACATACCAATAATCCCTATACATCTGCCTCATTCTTTGAAATAATGACAATTTCGGCGCTTCATCGTTTTGCCCATTTTTATTGCTTCCTTCTGCCGAAAACTGCCTTACTCCATTGCATAAATTATTATGAAGATTGTTATTTATTACTTGCACAAGGGACACAGAACATTCCGGTATGACTTTACTGTATCTACGTTGCAGTTTTGTTAATCCAGCACAGTGATACGGACTCACAAATGTTTTCACCAATGTTGGTCTCAAATTGACGGCAAGAAGTCTCCGAGGAATCACCAGAGCCATAGCGATTAGTAATTTCTTACTATAATGTGTTGCAAATCGTGTAGATGAATCACTTCAGTTATTATTGATAAATAAAGAATAAAAAGATATCCTGTAATTGCTTGAGGTCATCATAAATTATCTGAAGATTTGTTGAAGAAAATTAGAAATAGAACTTCACGCAATCATTGCATCGCAAATAATGCAATTTGCATTCATGAAATCATGGAAAAATTGAGGTTAAGTCGTTTTTCTGTCACTGTCAAACCGGTGTTGTCGATCATCAGGAAAGCGTTCCGGTTTTTCATTTTGGTTAACCAGTCGGATGCGCTAAAACTTGGTTCGGAACTGATCTGGACCCAATTCCAAGTGCACCGCGCACCGCAAACGTAGAATTGCTAAAAATCCGAAATTTCGTCATCAGTTAATGACGTAATTTGAACCGCACATGCGAACAGTTCTGAATCCTTAACGCGAACCCTCAGCATTGTTTTCAAAAGCACTCCGTGCAAAACTAATGTTATACCCAACATCCCCTGAGATTTGTAAGCGCTACGCATTCGTGACATTTACAGCTGACATCTGTCACTGTCAACGACATTTTGTTATTCTATTTTTGTTTTTATTATTTTAGCCCAATATTGTTTTAATTTTAAAGTTTCCAAAAATTCAAGTTCTTTCTAATTTACAAAATGATTGTATTTATGCCCGCCAATACCTAAAAAATTACGAAAAGGTAAGTGGATACAATTTTTTTAGCATTTTGTTGAATGTCGCATAATAATACGGTATTGGTGGGTATATTAACCAATTAACTGTAAACTGATTTTTTAGAACAACAATACCAAACCAAATTAAATCTCGCAATCATGTCGCCAGAATATGCGGAAATGGTAGCAGCTATCGCTTTTGGAGTATTGTCAGCAATTTTTGTTAGCGCCTTTGTGATTTTGATTGTGATTTGTCGAAGGCAAAGACTGTTTTACAAGGCTGCTTATTTGGATGCTCATAATCACGAATCCAGGTATGAATTCCTATTACTGTTTGTACTACTTTGCTTCAATTTTAACTTGAAGTTCAATTCAGTAATCTAGAGCACAAGAATCTAATGGGTGGTGAAATCCAGAGATAATAAAACGGTATAGTCGAGTCCTTCTATGTGCAAATGAAACCACTCAAATTTCAACAAATAATAATGTCACTAAGCCTCTATCGCTCTACTAAGTAGCTTGACTATTCACCCTGAAAATCAGAACGGGAAGGGAAAGGGAACACCAGAATAACGCTAGATAAATATAATATATTTAATGTTAGAGTAGAGATTGCATTTAGTGTAAAACACACCAGTATTACCATATTCTTACCATTCCAAGCCAGCACGTCCCTTCCGGCTGAAAAGGATCTAAGGGCACCTGAGCGAATCCGTCGGGTATAAGCCCAAGCTTGATCTTTGTGGTCAGCAGTTGCTAAGAAAACCAATCCAACACCACGATAGAAGCTAGGAAGCCTGTACTGTAGCGCAGAGTCTGAGTCGTCAGTTGAAATCTGCTCGAACAGAGATACGATGCGCAATCCCTATTTGGCCAGATAGCTTCCAACTTTTGAGACGTGTCTAAACACACCCACTGATACAGAAAAGCGCTGAGACATGACTGATTTGCCATAGTGTGGCAGTGGCTTTTATATCCAATATTTGCTGACTATAATTAGGTTAATTAGTCTGGTTGTGTTTTCTTGCTTAGTTGCAGTTATTTGTTTTAAGCAGTGGTTCAGTGTATTGAATTTGGTTAGGTATAACCTGTGGTCTCATGTAGGGTTGACAATAATTTTATTAAAATAGAAGTTTTCCAATTTATACTTAGGTGTATAACCGTGTATAAATAGTTACCAGTTTTTCTGGTGAGATTGTTAATGTTCTAATCCGGAGCTCTTCAGTAATTGTTGGGGTTTTACTTTCATGAACTGGAGCTCTTCAGGTTGTGTCTTGTAGGAGGGTAGATAACAATGAAATAGGAAGAAGGTTTGGGATGAGCTTTATGTCATTCAATTGATTCCAGAATAAGATAGCACTAGTAAGGGCAAAAAATCTATTGAATCTTCCATATCTCTCACTCTAACCCTGAATGAGATAGCGCTAGTAAGGGCAGGAAAATTTCACGGATCTCTCCTGTTCTCTCACTCCAATGTTGGCCAAATATATGTATTGAGTAGATAGACAAAGGGCTATTCCAACCTTCTTACTACTTCATTGGTAGATAATAGATTATCGACATGATGTCACGGTCACACCTCACATCAACTGATCCAGACTCCAAATAGTAGGCCAAGGCACTTAGCAAAATAACAGCCATATTTTATCATAAAAGGATAACGCACACCTAACATGGGATTTTTGGGCTCTATGGATTTTTCCCATTTTTTGATATGTTGTAGAGGATTTAATTCTAAACAACCTTTAAATGGGACGAAATCTTGTAGGTATAACGGTCTTTGAGATTTGAGCGTTGAAAAATGAACTTTTTTGCGACTTTTTGTGTGGAGAGTATACGAGATACTGGTGTTTATCAGTCAAAATAGTGACAGGTTCACATATTTTACGTCACTAAAAATTAATGTCAACATAGGTTAAGGCCAGGTCTGCACTGGGGTCAATGTTAGCGCCAGTACGGTCCCGACCTTAGCCTATGTTGACATTTCTTAGTGACGTGAAATATGTCAACCTGTCAAAATTTTGACTGATAAACACCAGTTTTTCGTATACTCTTCACACAAAAAGTCGCAAAAAAGTTCATCTTTCAATGTTCATATCTTAAAAACCATAAAGCCTACAAGATTTCGTCCCATTTAAAGGTTTTTAAGAATTAAATCCTCTACAACATATCAAAAAATGGGCAAAATCCATAGAGCCCAGAAATCCCATGTTAGGTGTGCGTTATCCTTTAACAGCAAACTATCGATGCAATAATATTAAGGATCATTTATAGATGCTAAAAACCAAAAATGCAACATCTAATTACTTTTAGGGGATTTTATAAACAATATTTAGTGCAAAAACAGGGCTTTTTTTTGTTTATTTCACTGTATTTCGAAAATTAATGATCGGATGGTTTTGCTACTGTGGCAATAGTTTTAGAGCATTGAACAAGCTTTACAACGAGCCATCATACAACCCTGTAGGTCTTTTAGTCTTCGAGAAATGATTGTTTTCCCCCAAAAAAAGAGATTTTCGTAAAAAATTCCTAACTTTTTTGATTTTCATGCTAGACAATTAATTTTTTACACATACATAGTAGATGAGGCAGGCTTTATTGAGCCCAAATTAGGGCCCGGTCCGATGGGTCGTTTCGGCATAATACCCTTGTCAAGCAAAATGGGGATGTTTCTAAAGCAGTCTGTCGAATTGAGGATAATTTTTTTATATTTATTTTGAAAAGTCCACTGATAAGTCGAAATGCCAAACTATCGATCCTCTATCTTAGATTTTCCATTTAATTTTTTTATCGCAAGTAAAACGGCTTCGAACATGACTGAAAATGGAAAAAATTGACAGGAATTCAAACGGAGTGACAGCGAGCGCCCCCCCGCCCACGCAAATTACATTTTTTTTCCATTTTCAGTGATGTTTGGAGCCGTTTTACTTGCGATAAAAAAATTAAATGGAAAATCTGAGATAAAGGATCGATAGTTTGGCATTTCGACTTATCAGTGGACTTTTCAAAATAAATATAAAAAAATTATCCTCAATTCAACAGACTGCTTTAGAAACATCCCCATTTTGCTTGACAAGGGTATTATGCCGAAACAACCCATCGGACCGGGCCCAAATTTGGGCTCAATAAAGCCTGCCTCATCTACTATGTATGTGTAAAAAATTAATTGTCTAGCATGAAAATTAAAAAAGTTAGGAATTTTTTACGAAAATCTCTTTTTTTGTGGAAAAAAAATCATTTCTCGAAGACTAAAAGACCTACAGGGTTGTATAATGGCTCATTTTAAAGCTTGTTCAATGCTCTAAAACTATTGCCATAGTTGCAAAACCATCCGATCATTAGTTTTCGAAAGACAGTGAAGTAAACAAAAAAAAGCTCTATTTTTGCACTAAATATTGTTTTTCTACAAACGTCACTAAAAGTGTCATTTTTAACGGATGCTGTCAGTGTCTAAAATGCCATTTTATGACACTGGTGTTAAAAGTGATTACTTTTAGCACTAGTGCTAAAAGTAATCACTTCTAGCACTGATCAGAAAATATAAAAACATAGGAAATTTTATATCAAAGTAATAGCTATTTACCTAACAAGTGCGGAAAATGAATTTTTCCGCAAGTGTTAGGTACAATATTTTTCCTACAGGCGTAAAAATGTAAATTTTTCTTTTTTTTTTTTGACAGATCAGTGCAGTAAAATTTTTTCCGCACTGACAGCCGTGCGGAAAAACTTTTTCCGCACTGATATGCGTGCGGTAAAAGTTTTACCGCACCGTGCGGGAAAACTCATTTTCCGCACGCATATCAGTGCGGAAAATCGATTTTTCCGCACGGCTGTAGGAAATAGTTATTTTCCTAACAAGTGCGCAAAGTGTTACTTTTCCGCACGCAAAGTTCGGATAAGTGTTTGCGTGCGGAAAAGACACTTTGCGCACGTGTTAGGAACAAAATTTTTCCTACGAGCTTCATATCAAGCAGGTAACAACAAAAATTAAAAAAAAAAAACGATAATTTGTTCAATTATTTTTAATTAACTTGGAGCGAACCTACGCATTTATCAAAAAATTACGTAACAAAAAAAAATAAATTAAAAAATCCTCGTCAGAGCTGTTCATCTTAAAGCGTTTAAATTTTTAATTTAATTAAATTAAAATTAGCGAAACTGCAATTAGAATAAGAAACTCCATGGCCAATCTCATTGGTAGCAAATACTGAATTTATTTTGGTAAAACTTGTACCAGGAGAGTAAAGAGCAATGTTATTCTCCGAACTTTTGGGCAGAATTTGATCTGCAATGTTCTTTTGTATGAAAACTCGTACTGTTGCTTTGACTTGCTAGGCAATAATTCGAAAGTAGCTTTATTGGCAGCTTCTTCAATTTCCGCCGGGAGAAATTCATTGTCTTGATCACTTTCCATCGCCCAGAAAATAAACTACAATGAAACTGGATGAAACCACGCAAAAACCAAAAATTGTGCAGAAACCGTAAGCAAAAATTCGTGATTATTTGACGTTATTAATCAACAATGACAAACAGAGATGACAAATAAAAATAAACAAATTCGTTTTTTTTTCTTGCCAGCAACCTATTTCATAAATAAATTAGATGAAAGATTTGAAATTGAGGATTTCAAGGATGCGTTAATTTGGACTTTTAAACAGTGTTTGTAGAAAAAATAGTGTATGATATTCGTGCTAAAAGTGATTTTATTTTGTTCAAAGGGATGGAACACTCCGCCTTCGGCGTCGTGTCCCAAACTTCCCTTTTCACAAAATAAAATGTCACTTTTAGCACTTATATCATAAATAACTATTATAAAATCCCCTAAAAGTGATTAGATGTTGCATTTTTGGTTTTTAGCATCTATAAATGATCCTTAACAATACTGCATCGATAGTTTGCTGTTAAATTTTATGTTACGAAAAAATTTATCTGCCCTGGCCTATAGTGATATAGTGGAAAAGGTACCCAAAAAGAATTGAACAGTAACAAGTTCACCAAGATTTGGAATGTCAAATTCCTGAATTCAGTTAAAAATACCGGGTGACAATGAAACTACCACAGCAGCATTTCTTAACGGCTGGAGATAGAAATATGCAATTCCGTATGTCGAAAGGGTTGAAAATTTTGAACAATTTTAATATAAAAACAATTGAATGGCTTTTCCGGTCTCACCGGAAACGGCATTGACTTTGTTATTTTAAATGGGACACCCTGTATATTATCTTTTTTTGGACTCTCTGGACAATAGGGCATGTCCATGTGACGTCATAAATGAGTTTGACAGTCACCCTGAGGTAAAAAAAATCATTTATTT